TAATTAATTACATATACATATACACATACACATACATATACACATACATATACACATACATATACACATACATATACACATACATACATACATACATACATACATACATACATATATATATATATATATTTCTATTAAAACATAGGCAAACGGTTCCATCTTCCAAAAACTGCAAAAAAGAGGCTTTACTGCCAGAAGTTATCAATTCACCTCACAAATCTCCCTCTCAGAGCAAAAGATAGTACCAACCGAAAACTATCAAAATGACACTCTGAAGGAGGAGCTTATGTAACGATTGCCTAACAGTCGATAAACGGCCAAAAAATCTTTGTGAATTGCACTTCTGTACATATTTACCGATTAGGCTTGTTAAAATAAGGATTGACATGTTAAACAACAAGCTTCATGATAAAATATCACTTCAGTGAAGAGAGGCATAGAATTGGTGGATTGTCCAAGCATTAAATCATTTGGTGAATTGCACAAGCTTAAATATTGTGCGATATCTATTAAATAACAAGTGGAATCAGGAAAAAAAGCTTTGTGAAATAAACCCTTTGTATATGTATGATCATTTTTAAAAAAAGTTTAAAAACCTACATTAAAGAACAACCAAGCATAAACTGACCCTAAACGCATTATAGTTTTCCTGTAGCAACTGTGGTAAATTTTCAGATATTTCTTTTAAAAAGTATATGTCAAGCCAAAAGCTTTTTAGGGATGTTTAGATGGGGGGTTACAACCAGTGAGATTTTTACTGCTTTTTTGGGGTATTCATTAGAGAGATTGCTCGCTTCCTGTCTGGCTAACACCATTTTAATCAGACAGGTGAAAGGAACTGTCCAACAGCAACACAGACGCAAATAAAAATGCTTTTCTTTAGTAGAGTAGGGGAAGGATAGAACCCCTGACAGTTTTATTTCTGCTGTGTCTCTGTTGTAGATTTTGTTACCAAACTGTTGGTTAATCTGTGTACTGGAGCCCTGAATAGCAGTAAACACCAAACAGGTAACCCTTCCATACTCTATCCAGAAATCTTTTTGGCTTTACTTACACTTTATTTAAGTTATGAATCAACAGGCTGCATAGGGACAACATTTCATATCACTTCATTTACACAATGCCAACAAAGAACATTTGAACATTTCCCACATGGGTAAATTCCACAAGTGCTTCATCCTATAACAGTAATAGCTCAAACATGGCTGCTTATGAAATGGCTATAGCTCACACCAGATTGTTGCTGTACAGGCATATTTGGTAAGGTAGAGAGCAAAGAGTGAGAGGTAAGAGTGTATTGCCCCACAGCAACCAATTATTTTAGCCCAGTACACCAAAATCCGATTGAATGGCGTCGTATACTTTGCACATTAGCATTGCACTCATCACACTCATTTATTCAGCATTGTACTGGTTTATTCAGAAAAAACCAGGGAAGTCAGCATTTGGGAATTTATCAAAACTGGAGCAGAGAAAATCTGAAGCAGCTGTGCTTGACAACCAATCAGCTTCTCTCTTCAGTTTGTTCAGTTAAGAGTTGAAAATGAAAGAGAGAAGCTGATTGGTTGTCATGCACAGCTGCTCCAGATTTTGTCTGCTTTTGATAAATTCCCCTCTAAGTTTGTTAAGCTATCATCCAAATTTTGCTATCAAAGCCATTACCTGTTATAGTGTCGCCAGGTTTGAAACTGTTACTAGATGCTGTGATGACAAAAAGGGCTGCTGATGACTGGGGACCATTATTCCCATGTACTGGAAGCATGGTTTCACAGGAGGCACTAATTTGTCCACTTGGATACCCAAATACGGCAACCAGACATCCGGCAAGATAAAAGAGCAGCATGAATGCGTGTCCCATGTCTTCCTGGAAATACAAAAAAAGATTGTATTTATAGATAACAACCCTCTCATACTAGACAACCCTCTCGTAACAATCTTCTCAAATTGTTACTCCGCACTGTAAGAAGGTAATTTGTGGCTAAATGCCAGTAACCCCAACGTGGCTAGACACCTTATCCTGCTTGATCTCAGCAGGCTTATCTATTTTAGCAAATTACATGTACTATAAAAGGCATTGTTTTCTGTTTTATTAAAATGTAACTCATTATATGGCTATTAGGATTGTACTTTTAGACTTGCTATTACATTCAATATTGTTTTTATCAAGCTTTAAACAATAACATGAATTTTAATGTCAGTTGGGAACTGTATACACTTCACTTTTGTTACTTGACATCAACATAGTACAGTGAAAACATAATGGTTTTTCTGACTGCTACTTGCAATGCAATTGCAAACAAGAAGCACTATGGTCCCCTTATGTGAAGCCTAAAAAATACTGGAAAACCAACAGGACCACATAGAATTCTGGTAAAATGCTGGTACTAAAAACATTCAACGCAATCAGTGGAGTAGGAATTAGTGCTGGCTGAGTCAAAGATATCAAACGCCCTTGCTCTGGGGGGCGGGGCAAGCAAGTTATGCCACAGTTCAGCCACCTATATCTCCAAGTAGAGTACCAGTGTATCAGCACCTGGAGTGGGAGCAGAGTGTAGTGCATGAAGCCAGCCAGTTCCTAGTGCTGGAGAAGATACATCTTTGGGCCTCAGCAGCTGATGGACTACTGCACAGTGTAGAGTCTGGACAGTGATTACTTCAGGACATTGTGGTACAATTATATAAAGGACCATTTGCTGAGAGGGTACAGTGTCTGGTGATCCTGATACTTTAACTAACAGAGTACTGAACTGCAGTGAATGTCTGAGACCAGCAAGAAGGGCTGTGTTGTGCCACTAGGGCTATGATGTGTCATTAACTTCTTGCCAGTCAAACCGTATAAGACACATGCCTGAGTCACACACACTAAAAGGTGGCTACTTCTCTCTTAAAGCCAAGGTTTGTGTGGCCCATTTACCCATAGTTGCTCAAAGGGGTTGCTATGTAATTGAGTTCTCTTTGACCCTTTAGCCTCTCTACTTGGCACACTAATTTTCTATATGTAGTGTCCAAAATTTTAATTAGGACCCTCCCATCTTTAGCTACATCAATGAATTGGGGTTGATTTACTAAAGGATCAGAGGCTGTTTACTGTATATGGCAATGGTGTTTGGAGAACCTGTGTTTAATTTGAATACCCAGTCAGGTGTAAAGGAAATAAAATAAAAGATTTTTGCTGCGACATGATTGGCTATTTGAAGCTTATACAGTTCCACCTTGTTTCATAAAATCAGTAAACATTAGCTTTGCTAAGTGAACAGCCCCTACTCCTAATAAATCAGTTCCATTGCTTCTTTAGGACAGACATGAACCGACAAATGCCTGTCTGATATCATATAATGTATCTAGGTATACTTTTTTGAGAAATATATGGCAAATTCAGCACATAAACACAGAGAAATCATGTTTTTAAACTGAAAAGCAGCAATGGCATTTGTGCTGATCTGTTTAAAACAAGCAAAAAGGGAAAGGTGCACATGGCCAGGGCAAAACGATTTAAAAGGGTCCCCAGTACACCTTAAGCTAGCCAGCAAATACAATCTAATTCTGTTTTAGCTAACCCAGGTTAAAATCAGAGTTTTTAGTTGCAAACTTTTTCAAATACATGTGGAAGTCACCCTGCTGTGTCAAGGCACCTCTGATAAGTGTAGCCCCTGAAGTACGGTATACATGGTTAGAACTTTTGAAAGAACCATTTCAATTATGGAGCATTCGGTTGACTTTCTAATCGCTGATGCAGTGAACTCGATGACTGATTTAGACCACAGTGATGAAAAAATTCGAAGGGGCATGTTGGAAAATTTTCCTCGATGGAAAGGTGAATGTGGTTTTCACTCGGAAAAATCCATTCATTCCAAAACCAAATGGTAAATAAAAACTAAAATCAAACACTGCAGTGGTGAATATAACTGAACAAAACGCCACTTGCGACATTTCAATAACTTTTAAAAAAATAGTAAACAATCCGATGCGCCAGGATGTCATATAAGCACTGTACCTCCAAGCGCACACCAGCAGCCATGCGTTCAGCACAGGGTACAGAAACACACTAGAAGCCCAAACATCGCCTTTACAAGCCAGCGGAAGACTTCCAGTGTGTGTCTGCACCAAATCCAATATAAAGTCACGCTGATCTGTTTGAAAATAGAAAAAGGGAAATGTGCACCAAGGTCTGTATGTAACTAGTTATTGTATAATGGAATCATGCTATGTTTAGATACATGACAGTTTTAAAAATAGTATTAAGGGTGTTCCCAGCACACTTTCATGCTAGCCAGCAAAAAAGAAAATCCGCTTCATCTGTTTTGCTGCATATTCAAATGTTTTGTATGTTTGAGTAGCTGAAACAGATTTGTTCTTTTTTTTTTCCTTTTGCAGGCTAGTTTGACAGTATGCTATTAACACCCTTAGTACTATTTTTGTGTTTAAACATTGCCTCATTACACTTACACAATAACTAGTTGCATACTTTTTCCTGAAACCATCATGTCTGTTTCTTCTCTAAAAATATTCTGACAAATAGTCCTTAAATACTAACAATAAATAAACAATAAATAACAAAACAATAAACAATAAACACACAACGCAAAGCACAGATGAAGGCTTACCTATAATACGATGTTACTGATCTTAAATTCTGTAGAATGTCAGTACAGAGCAGCGCTGAACAATAAAGAAAGAGAGCGATATACTCCACTCCTCCAGCACCAATGTTGTCTCTCGTAGAGGTAATTATAGAAATTATATGCAGGTTGTGCGAGTTCTCCTTCACTTAGCCAGGAGTGGTATATGTAAATGAAGGTGTGATGCAAGTGCTGGGTGTAACCATAGAATTTGTGTCTCCTTTCTTTCACAAATTGCTCTCTGGTTAAAGGTGCCCATACGTCATTGTTCAATTTTTTTTGTCCCGTCATCGCACCCTTGTTCAATTTTAGTTTTTTTAAAAACTTACTTCCACATTAAGTAATTTACCTTATCTTTTTTATATTTAGACACCTTGGAGGTCCTGTCTGTCCTGTCTGTTTAATTTAAAAACTCAGTGTTAAGGTGCTTATATAAAGGAATTTTTCATTTTTAATGTTTCATTTTAAGTGATGTTAAATCGCTGCTCCTTTAAAAATTGTATTTTTTAAACGTGTTTTTTTCATTGATACATGTCCCCCAGGGCAGTACCCTGAATAAATATATATAATCAGACTTCTGTGTTATATATATATATATATGTATATGTGTGCGGCAGGGAAGTAGCTGTGAGACATGATTGGGCAGAGTCATCGTGACTTTGCCCAATCATGGCTCTATATTTGTACTGAGCCCTGATTGGCACAGTCTTGCACCTGACCTGCGGTCAGGTGCAAGACTGTAGCCAATTATCGTTTCGGACGGCGCAGTGCATTGTGGGATGTCCCGCGGTCGAACAGACCGCGGACATCCCATAATGTTCGGCGTCCAGCGTGCATTAGAACATGGGGTTTTTATTTTTTACTATATAATGAAAAAAGGACCAACATTTTTTTTTTAAACCATGTTCTCCCTACGTTATGTTATAAAACATTTATTATTACCCAATTTTTTGACAAAATATAAAAGACGGGGTCACGTCGGGTGAATAGACACCAAACATGTCAAGCTTTAAAATTGCATGCGCTCATAAAATCGCAAAAAAACTACCATGCCTAAAATTGGCCATAGGCGATGCACACTACAGGGATATACAAGCGATTGGTCGGTTATAGAGCCTGCTGAACGCTTTAATAAAACAGCCAGTAATGGCTGTTAACCTTCCCGTTAGGGGGCACACATGAGCACAAAAAAAAAAAATCACGTACATGTACGTCCACCCGCCGGGAATGATCCGCCGTCCGCCCGTAATTTTACGATGGGCGGACGGCAAGGAGTTAATGTGGAAGAACGTTTAAGAAAAAAAAAAAAATATGCCAATCTGCATGCTTAATATGGCAGAAGAGATTGTGTTTGTCTCTTCTGCCATAAAAGTTTAATTCTGGTATTCAGCAATTTTTGATTCCTTTTTTATTCCTGTACACTGAGCCACGCATTCATAGCTCAGTGCATAAACTCAGCATGACAAGGTGAAGTAACTCCCATGCGCATGCTCAGGATTTACGTCATCAGGTCCCGGCCAATAAAGCAGCCGAAGACTTAAAACCTAGAAGAAAATTCGGGTGAAGCAGGCCATACACCTATAGATTTTCTGCAGAGTTTCTATGGTCAGATGGAAAAAGTGTATCAGATTCCTCCTTGCATTTTATGGAACTAAACAGAAACTCAACAGCCCCCACCAAATTATAAAACTATACATCCAAAGTGCTGTGTAGGATAAACTAACAAGATCTGCAGAGTATATGGCTTATTTGTCATTTTTCTTTTAATTTCAGCTTTAGAATTAGTACTTGTGTGTGACAAATTTCTTTTTAATCTGAAGTTATAGCAATACAATTTTGTGTCACTTGTCTCTATTTGCAGTGTGACTTTAATGACTTGATTAACCCACCCTGTGACTTTAGCTGTAATTTATTATAGTTGCATGCTGCTGCGGTGCTAATAGCTCAGAGGTTAAGGAACTTAATAGGGTCAAAGGCTTAGAAAATAAATAATTTAGAAATTTAGGATCGGTAGGCATTTTTAATCTTTGCTAGTAAATGCGAGGCTGTGGAGTATCATATTACCACATTGAAATCCTGAAAGTAAACCTGTCATGAAAAACCTATGAAGGCTGCCCTGGAACAATTATACAGAAGAGGAAAGTTGGGGAAAAATCTAAAGTTCTTACCTGTATACCTATTTGAGCTCAGTAACTTAAAGTGACACAAAAACAAAATACTTTAAAAAATGTATCTTATTTGTGTA